TGTGTGTGTGTGTGTGTGTGTGTGTGTGTGTGTGTGTGTGTGTGTGTAGCAGTCTTCAAGATCATCCATCTTACATGAGTCCAAAGTCACGTGCTTCATAAGGAAATTTACAGCAACAAAGCACGGGACTAGAAAGGATATATCACAGCTTCTGATTATATCGAATATAAAGTACCAAGGAACGAAAGGGTAACTCCGCATTAATACTGATGAGTTAAGAACTAGAACAGGTGCTTCACAGCATGCTACATACATCACTCACAACTTAAGGAGACGATGTCTACATGGAAAGTCATGAAGTTGGCATCTGACTCGTGCAGTTCAGCTACAGTCTTCATGTGTACATTCATTATGCAGCTGCCCTGCACAACCAGGATTTAGAAGGGCTTCAAGTTCAACTCCTATTTCGTAAGTTAAAAGCTACATCCAGTTCTTCCATGATGAGGAACGTTTCTTTCAGGTTTGCAGGAGCTAAGCCAAGTGGCAAGGCCATGTTTCCACGGTGACCTGGCAGGGTTCTCCTTTACCTTGCCCAGACTGTGTGCACGCCTGTTCAATTAGTATAAAGAAGATGCCCAAGTGGCCTGGGGTTTGCTTCCAATGTCCATCTTGTTTTGGATAAAAAGAGTAAATGTGAAGAGGAAGAAGAAAGAAAAATCTCCTACTTCCTCTCCTGCAGAGACATCCAAATGCAAAGGAAATGTCTGCTCTAGGCATAAAGTCATCCGGATCACCATCCTTGGTGGTCAGGGTACCGGTTAACTCAGGCTCTATTCTGGGAAACCAGTGAGAATCAGGAAAGAGATATAATCTCTGCTTTATAAAGGAAAAATCCTCAGCCACCCAGCTGACACATTTCCTACGTTCTACCTTTTGTCCTTTTACAGACTGGGAGAGCTGGTTAAAGTTTGTAAAGATCAATTAAGAAATCTGGTTTCTTTTTTATATAATGTGTACATTTAACTCAGTGGTACCTGTGAGCAATATTTTAATACTAAAGACCATAGACTCTCTCTAACATTCTTTCTGTAAAAATGATACATTCATCTTAAGAGGTTACTTTGAGTAAGAAATAGATAGTTTTAGCAAAATTTTACATACCAAAATTATATTTATCATATTTCCATTCCTAATGTTTGGGGTCCTATGAACTATAAAGTGGGATGCTCGTTCTCGAAGATACTTGACAGCACAGGCTGGGCCACCTCAAAGCTTTCCACATGCATTCAGAAGCAGACACTCCTTTACTCTTTCAGTTCTGTCCTTCGTGGCAGTGCAGTCCTAATTTAGTTAAAGCTAAATGAACGCCTCATGATGTGTCCCTTCCAGTGGCCAAGTCACTGCCCGCCTAGGCCCCTTCTTCACTCTTGGGCCTTTAAATGCATTAATTGGGCATTGTCAGGTTGGGGTATCCACACCTGGGATGGACACATCTGAAGACCATTAGAGATCTCAGATCTACACTCCCAAACGAGGCAGGGCTGCCAGCCATCTACATGTGAATGGGTATCTCCTGCCAGGAGCCTGGCTGGAGGGGAGAAACTGCATTCCTGCCTCTGTACATCACTCTCTTCCTTAATGATACTATCTGGGCATACACGAAGAGCCAACAGGGGGAATACAGACTCAAGCCAACTCTCTCCTTATCTCACAAGGTAAGTTTTCTCCCATCTGGAACAGGGAGGGTTGGGGTTTGAAGCGTAATCAAGTCAAATTCAGATGTACCCAGTTTTCTGGGATTTTTTATCTACATTATACATCAAATAGGCTAATATGATGCAATCTGACCTTCTAAAAGCCTTTCATTAGATGTCCTCTATGAGAAATGTGTTTTAAGGCCCAAACACCACCAAAGAAACTGTTGTCTAAAACATTACCTCATTTGTCTGCTAGGAATCTGGACTGTTGAGGAATTTCAACTCTACATTCAAGCTACCGGGTCTATCACCAGTATCCACTAACTAATACAGACCAAGTTAGGCTAGCCATTCAACCACTCTGAGTTCCTGCTAAATGTTAAATTCTGTGTGGTAGAAATAGTTCAATTTCTGTATCATGTATAAATATAAAGGTTTCTACTTTGATAGATAGAAGGCAAAGGTTTTATGATTTATTTAAAATATGGACTAGTATTACTGAACAGCAGAGAATGAACCCATGAGAAGGCTGGGTGCTCTGAGTTTATAGGCTCTTTGGGGATGAGGTAGAGGACAGCAAGATGTTTCGGCAGCCGGGAAGATGGTATAAGCAGCAGGGGTAAACAGGACGCCTTTGATGCCATGACATATCTGGTAAGGTAGCAGAGATAGACGGTGGAGAGACTTGGAGGGAGCTGAGGAAAGACATGTTTTTAATGATGGGGGAAATGTACTCAGGAAAAGACACGTCACACTGGTGATGATTAGCAGGAGGCTGGTGATGTGCAACTGTGAAGGCAGTAAGACCCAGACAGACCCGGGGAGAGAGGAGAGTGAGCGGGGCTGAGGCACTTGGAGGAAGAGGAAGGCAGGAAAGGGTGGACACAGGCGGCGGGAGCTCCCGCCTTTCTAGCAGATGCATTTTCCAAGGACTGCAGAGTCTCCACTCTGCGGTCCAGGTGTTCTTCCTCACACTCAGCCTGGAGGCACTGCTCCGCTCCAGGCCACTTCCCATCAGCCTTTTCTGTTCTTGGTCTTACCTAAGCCGGTGGTATTTTTGACAGGGTTAAATTAGGAGTGAGATCAGCTGCAGATAGATGCATGGGAAAAAGCTCTGTGGACTGACAGGATACATTCATGGAATGGCCTGCTTTGAGTCTGTATCTGAGTCTCCACAGAGAGCAGTGCAGAGTGACAGCCACCTAGAATTGGTTCCTGTTGCAAGGGCACATAGTTTACAGTGCCCTCTCCACAGAGGAGTTGCCTTTCTGCTTGCTGGTGAAGTACCACTAAGAATGCTTATTTGGAACATCTTGCAAGATTTTTTATTCCATGCAAGATGGCCCTTTTCACAGAGAATGAGGGCAATGATTTAGAGTTGTTGTTAAAACATAACACAAAGTAAAAACCTTATTTGCCTGTCGCAGCACACATTGTCTTTATGGTACACACGGGATTTGTTCTTTTTTCCTTGTCTTTGAGTTTAAAGAAGCCTTACTATTATATAGGCATACACTTGCCACGGGAAGAGATGACTTTTGAGTAATAATCTATAACTGTTTGCTGATAAATTTACTTTGGTGTGGCATAAAAGTCTGGGATTTTGGATTAGCGAAACCTTCTGAGGTGGAGGAGGAAGTGTTCCCCTGGATGACATCCATTAGATCTTAGAATCATTAAAATCTTTAAGAGTCATAACATAAACAAAATAGGGCTCTGGCTCAAATTTTACATGACCTTTATATAAATCTTACTTCACTTTTCTCCTTTAAAAATAGCCCTATACATCTGTGCTATTATTGGATTTAAAACTGGTTCAAAAGGCTGAGGCTCCATGTTAGCTACCCTCTGATTTACAGAGCACCCTGAGGGGTGGCAAAATATTCCTAGGACTGAAACAAGGTACTTATTTTTAAAAGTAGTCTCATCTCAAAAGCCTTTTCCCCTCTGAGTATCACAAGTCTGCCTGAGGAAGCCTGGCCTGAGAAACCACTTCTCAGGCAGCCGGGGCATTCCAACCACTTCCACAGACAAGTGGGCGCGCCCACTTTCGCACGTAAGGGTACTTACATATTTCTTTTTCTTTTTTAGTTTTTGAAACAGGGTATCACTCAGGCTGGCCTCAAAACCACCATCTTCTTGCCTCAGGCTTCCAAATACTGGGATTATAGGTGTGTGCCACCAAGCCCAACTTCCTTGATGATTTCTATAGTGATCTGAGAGATTAAGAATTAGTGTAGATGCTGGCAAATGTGAAATTCCAAACTGAACCATCCATGCCATGAACCAGCATGGAGTTCAGGCTGACTTTAACACAAGGAGCAGGGAGTTGAGGGCTTCACAATCAGACGTGCTTTTCACACACACTTGCACGCTTATGTTTGGCACAGTGTGAGCCCCGAGTGCAGCTCAGCTTATAATAGGCTCTGTTATTATACCGACTGAGTCAGGTAGCTCCTTTTAAAAATATCACATTTATGTATAAAAAGCTACACTATAAATTACTACATCGTAAATTCAATACTCTGGAAAAAAAAATGCCACCCTGGAGAACCGCATCAGAATTTCAAGTTTGCACTGGATAAGGAGGGTTAACAGCAAATTCTCACCAGGGCATGCCCAGCGGGAATGCTGTACACACTGAAGCATGGAGGTGGGCCGCCTTCACAAATCAGCTTTTTGAGGCTGGTTCACTGAGGTTCATAAATACATTGCTGTGTTTTTATGCACTTATTCTCCTGATTATTGACTGGTCCTGTTGAACTAAAAGGAAGCTTTGCTAGGAGAGAAATCTATTGAAGGCACTAATGATTTCCACAGCCCAATCTCTACACTTACACTTCTGGGGCAACACAAAACCAAAACCAAAACGTAAGTGGTCACTGTAGTTTTAACTCTTGTTTTCCCTTTTGGTCTAAAGCTTATTCAGGGTTCCATGAGAATTCCTCCTCTTAGTACATAGAAACTATTTCCATCCGCCATTCAGTTCACCTGCACAAAATCTGGGGCTAGGAAGTGAAGCTGTTTCTAACACTTTTAAAAACCAATACTAAACTCATCCTAAATGAAAGCCTTAGCATGGGGCACCAGCCCTGGGCTTCCCAGCCTCTAAGAACTTCCTGTAGTTCAGACAATCGAAAGAGGAAGGTGAGCAAGCACACAGGCCACACCCCGGCAGAACACAGGAAACCTGGCACAGGTTCTCTGAATAGGCTCTTTACAGAAACCACCCTGTCTTCAAAACCTTTTTCCTCACATGGAGGATTTTAAACAAGCTCCTGGAGTCTAAGACTACCTATGCTGACAGGTCTACAGCCATCTTTGTTTTCCTCTCTGGAACAAAAATCTCAAGGAAAAGGAGCTAACTAACATCCAGAAAAGGGCAGCAGACAGAAGGGGAGCACAGCCTAACAGAACAGAGGCCCACGGGCCTTTCATAAGAGAAGTCTCCCACATAACAAGGAAACCCCAAGTGAGCTCTCTGTGAGAGCTCCCTGAATGACTTCCTGTGACAGACAAGGACGGCCAGATTAGCATGGATGTGCAGAATGCAGTCACCTTTCATCAAGCAAAGGTGCTCAGCTGGAGTCCTCCAGGGGCTGGGGCAGCTCTCTAGGCACTTCACTGGTTCATTAACATAATGGAAATTAAAGCTATAAACACAGAAGGTTGTGCTCTCTGAAGATAGTCTAATCAAACAACATAAATTGATGCAAAAATGTGAGGTTTTGGCTGCCTTTTTTCTCCCCTATGACAATGCTGTGTTTTTGTTTTTATTTTGCTTTGTTTTAACCTAGTTGCCCAAACAGATTTTTCTGGGGAAAGAATACTTTGGCATGGTAATGCCACTGTTCAGCCCCAGCAAGGTAAAACCGAAAAACACCTAGCACAGTAAAGAAATGGGAAGGTCATTTCTTTATGGCTCTGTTTAAAAGGACACTTCTGCAGTGACATGATAGGGGAGCTCAGCTGATTTCTAAACAACATTGCACTGTTTTGTTGCTGCTCAATCACATGAATGCACAGAAACACAATTTTTACCTTTGAATAACAAATTACTTAAGCTATTATAAGAGAAAATCAAGTAAAATAATTTCCAAAAGTGTAACAGGAAGAATTAGGGGTCTATTAACTAACCATCCTTAACTCTCAGAAAAGGAGAATGTGCAAAGAAACATTTGGTCAGAGTTGTGGGTGTGAGCTTGTGTGTACCAAGTGTGGGAGGGTGCTGTAAGCAGCACTGTGGGCACCAGCTCCCAGAGGGGACGATGGAGAGCCACAGCCCAGGACTCGGACTGTATCTCAGTCCACTGCCACACAGACAGCGAGCCATGTGGGAAACGGGGCCTCTGCTTTAGAAGACAAAGTAGCTGAACTTGGATTTCAGTAGCATGCTATAGAATTTATCATAATTAATTTCACATTAAATTATGGATGATGTCTGTATCACATTTCACGTTATTGCCAATAGCAGTGTAAGAAAGTCAGATAAACTAAACACAACAGGGCCTGATGCTCTCCTGGGGACACAGGCCTTGCCTGAAGAGCTTGGTTCAGCAGCACATGCTTTTCCCCAGACTCCAGGACACATGTGGGATTTTAGAGCAGGAGAGGACACCATTCTTTGCTGAAAGTTGATATCTGAAAAACAACTGCTTGAGCGGATTGTAAGCACTTTTCCTTATTTTTTTTTTAAGTAAAGAAAAATAATACACATACATATGAACTTCAAAGTACTGAAGTGAAGCATTAACAAACCAGTTCATGATTTATGGTCAGATCCGAAAATCCAACTCTAACAATGTAAAGTAGTACTCGTCAGGGTTACCTCTGCAATTGTTAGCAATGTTAAGCATCGAGAAATATAAAACACACCATTGCACATGACAGCCGGAAAAAAAAAAAAGGAAAAAAAAAACCCACCAAAACAACCCTAACAACAAGAACAAAACAAAAATCAAATCAAATACAAAAACAACAACCCCGACAGCTATACTTTGACACTAGAGAACCGAGTAACTGCTGAGGTGCGTCACAAACAAGTTCTGATGGGAGTCCCGGGTGAGAGGCCTGGATGCATGCTGACACCTTCCTGCAGGTGCTTCAGGTCAGATGCCGAGTTATGGCCCGCAGAGCGTAAAGCAGCTCAGCCTGCATCCGTGCTTCCATCAGAAGAAGATTCACATGGACCTGGAAACCAAACAGCACTGGCTTAGTTACTATGCAAAACATGCAAACAGCCTAGATCTAACAAGCTCTCTAGTGAAGCTAAAGCTCCATTTAGTTTGTGTGAGTTATCTGATCTCTCCAGACACCCACCATGTGCACAGACTCTGGGAAAGCCACAGCACTGCACATTATAGTCAGAAGGCTGATGTAAATACATTACACTTTCTCACTTGACTACAAGGAACTATCTTCCTATCACTTGAACATGCTATTGGGCATATTCTCCTGGTGAGAGTATATACTCTCTAGAAAGAAAGGAAAATCTATTGTGAATAAAAACAGCCTAAAGATGCGTCAAGGCTAAAGATGAAGTGGGTAATTCACTTGGTGTGTGACTGACTTTGAGACTAAAAATTATTAGAAATGGAGCCATAGCATACTTTGCCAAGGCCGATCACATCACTGGGGACTGTTAGAACCCCAGAATAACTTTCTTCACTCCAGTTTGGACAGTGTAGTATAAAGGAGACTGTTAGATTTAATACTTAAAAGGTCTAGGACCTTAAGCCAGATTTGATGCTATAATATTGATAAAGGTTCTTAACACTTACTATATTTTAAGTAATAATTCACATATAGTCTATCTGCATACATTTTTATGTAACAATATATTTACCTCACAGGTCTTCACTATAATGGCAAAATAATAAACTAAATGAGAAACATTTGTTCTAACAGTAACCTGGTGGCTAACAAGAGTTTCTAAATATCAGTGCCTTCTAGGCTGGGTACAGTTCTACACAGCACTGTTTCTTTGTGGCCTTTTAATAGTTAGGATGATAGACTTACTGATATTTAGATACAATCTTTCAAAGGCTGATACTAAAATAAATGTTATACACTGTGCTGGCTAGTTTTGATGTCAAGTTAACATAAAGTCAGGTCATCTGGAAAAAAGGACTCTTAATTGAGAAAATGTCTTCATAAGACTGGCCTGTGTGCAAGTCTGTAGGGCATCTTGGTTGATAACGGATGAGGGATAACCCAGCTCACTGTGGATGAGCCACCCTTGGGCACATGGTCTCGAGCACTCTAAGAAGGCAGGCTGAGCAAGCCAGTGTGCAGGGTTTTCCATGGCCTCTGAGTCAATTCTTTCTTCCAGGTTCCTGCCCTGTCCTCCCACAGTGATGGAGGTCCAGGCTGAAATAAGCCCCTTCCTCTCCAAGGTGCTTTTGGCCATGGTGTTTTATTACAGCAATGGAAACCTTGACTAAGACATATATCATGTTAGATCAAGCACACATTTAAACAGTCAATATCCTTAGATTAAGAAAACATGAAAAACAATAGCTAGTTCAATGGTACTGACTTAATACGACCCACCCTGGTTCCTGATTGAAGCTGTCATGTTGGACATGTGTCTCTGAGGTCTGCTCAGTAATGATACTGACCTTCTCTGAGTGGGTGAACTGCCGCCAGTAGCTGTCATACATGCGCTTCGTGGTTCTCTCAGGGTAGCAGGTTACTGTCTTGATATAAACCTTCAGGCTCCGTTCAAGTAACTGGTTAACTTCTCCATAGTCATAGTCATCATACCTGTGAGTGACAGCACTGATGTGAAACCCAAGCTTCACTGCTCAGACCTTGCTATTCAATGATGTCATAAGCAAAGCTCATTACGTAAGCCATAAGGAAGCATTTACCGGGTGCCTGGTGTCTGGGAGTCTGTAGTGAACAGGAGGGAAAAAAATCCACCCCTAGTCTTACAAAGCTTAAACTCTATTAAGGTATAAAGAGAAAAAAACCGATAAAGCAAACACATAGTTTGTAAGTGGTGATATTACTTAAAGAAAAATGTATTTGCGGCTGGGGAGGGTAGGTCTGTGATTTTTAAACAGCAGGCAGGTGTTCTCTGCGAGAAGCACTTTAGAAAATAATAGAAGGTAGAAATTAAGCAAGAGTAAGGCTGGCCTGCAAAGGCTCCAGGTGGGTGTTCCAGGCAGAGGGTGAAAACCTGAGTCTAACACTCCAGTACGAGTCAGGTGACACTTCAAACTGATGGAGCCAAAAAACAGCCTTAATCTAAAAACCAAAATTCAGAATACTCCAAAATTCAAAATACTCTAAAATTCAAAGCCATGTGATCACATTTAGAGTTTAAGGGCATTTTTTTATTTTTCTTTTGTAATGATGGAGACCAAACCCAGGACATGAACATAAGGGCAAGCATTCCAACTCCAACTTCCAGATGCTTTTCAGGTTAGGGATGCTAACCCTGTAGTGTTCTTTATATAATATGCTGCATTGTGAGCTGATTTGTCAGGAAATCTGTCTGTCTGTCTGTCTATCAGCCATTCATGTTCATGTACACATGCAGTATGTGCGTGTGTGGAAGTCAGAGGTCAAAGCTCAGTGCTGTTCTTCAGATTCTGTCCATTTTATTGTTTGAGATGGGATCTCTTGCTGGGACCTGGGGCTTACCAATTAGGTAAGGCTTGCTAGCCAGTGAGCCCTAGAAATCCTGTCCCCACCTCCGAAAGCTAGAATTACAAGTGTGTACTTATGTAGGTTCTGGGGACTGAACTGCTGCTCACAGGAACAGTGTTTACCAACTGAGCCATCTTACTAAGCCCCAGACTCATAACACTTTAAATGAAGAAAATGATATCTAAGACTGAATTAATTTTTAAACCAGGTAGTATTTACCGCAGAAAGGTATAACCCCAAACAGGCTATAAATAAAACAAATGCTTGACTTTCCACTCAGAAATGTATAAAGTTGTCTGCACAGTGAACATACCTGATTCCAAACATACAGTGAACATAGTTAAACAAAGCTCTGCGCAGTGTGGTCGTGTCAACATCCTCATGGGTGGCCATTGTGTTGTAGGTGAGATTGTAGACCATTCGAAACTTCTCATCCAGGAGATGCCCGATGTCAGAGTAAAGCCTGTTCACTAGCGAGAACCCATGATTTTCCCAGGTGTAGTCCTGGATGCAGAAAAAGTATCCACTTATAAAATGGGCATTCTCTGTTAAACCCTATGTTTTTAATTTATAAAATAAAATAAAACTATTGAAGAAAGTTATTGGGAAGTATTTCTAGGTCAGTTCTAGGACAGCAGCTTTACCAAGGATGCTTCTTTTTGTCAGGCTGCAGAGTGCAGAGCATGGGTGTTGTCTCATAGGGTCCAGGGTGTGACATGTTTGTGAGGAACTCTGGGAAGGCACCATACTTTATCTGAAAGGACCCAGAAGTTCTTGACTGTTTCTATGTCACCAAACTTACTTAGGCATGAAGGAGTCTAAATTTAACTCCCCTTCACATAGTCTATTGTACTATGGGAGGCTGGTCCTGAAGCACAAACTACTAGTGTAGTTGTATCTCAAAATGCCCTAGTTAGAAAAGTCAGCATATTGTTTGATTTCTTCCCTGCCCCTCCAAAAATATCCCAAACATATGTAACTCCCCTAAAACATAAAGGACACTTTATGTTTTAACAGTTGTCCCTTGGAAGGGCAGGACTCTCTAGTTTCTCTAAGTTAAAAGTGCTGTGTACCTGGGCTCGGAATGTTGGCAAATGTTCTTCTCCTCGCCTGGCAAAGTCTTCATACCCAAAGCCTGGGTCTTCGATGTATCGAGAGACATCAGCTGTTACGATCATGTCATCTTCAAAATCTAATGGACAACAAAGGTACTCAGAACATGTACAGCACTAAGACAAGGAGCCTGAACCCCAATGCTGACCACATGGTTTACACTCACAAAATACCTATGGGTGAAGCTCTACGTACAATTTCCTTATCAGATTATTAGCTTTAAGATTTAATTATTATATGTAGGTGAAAAACTCAAACATACTGAAATATTTAAACAATAGTAGAAAAGATTAACATGTCAGATTTACTAATTTTGAAATACAAACTCAGGCTTGGGAACATAAGATTTAAAGCTTGTTTGATCTCTCCAAGGGGAAAAGGGGACAGGGGGCAAGAGAAGGGACAAGGAAGATGATGACCGCATTTGAAGATGCATCTTTTAAAATTGCATCTGACTGTCACAGCAAAATCCCTTCCCTCTAGTTCACTGTCAGCTTCTAGAAGGCAAGCCAGTTGAGAGATGAGGCATGGCGTCCAGAAAGGAGGAGCCTTCTGTGTGCCTGGTTGGCCTCTCAGTGTACCCCTTGGTGAACGCTCTCCTCAGCCTGAGCATGTACGCGGCAGCACAACACTCCTGTGGTGTCAAGAGAGCTGATGAGGCTGTGGTCGGAGCATCACCCTCGAGTGCAGGGACATTAGGGAGGCAGTGCTGCTACCACAGATTCTCCATGCTCAATGGCTGAAACCCGCTATTGAGAAACTGCAAATGCTTACTGTACATTATTTTAAGCTGAAGGCAATTTTCTTCTAACTCCTTGGTTTTTAGAGTGATGTGTCTTTGTAATTGCTTCCCCTCAACTGATATCAACTATTAGCAGTGATTAAACAAGCCTTGTCTCTATTCTGTAAATGAACATATCATTCTCAGAATTTAAAAAAGTAGTTCCTATGCAAGGAATAAATTCTTTGTAAATAATTTAATTAATGTTAAATTAATTCAGTCTTTAATGAGTAATAAGTACTGGATAAAGTGAGCAAAAATACTATAGTATAATAAAAAAACTAACTCTTATCTGGGTAAAACTTTTAGAAGTTTGACAAACAATTATTTAAATTCTTCTGAAAGAATATATATGAATATTCTAATAAGACAAAGTCTCCCTTTCAGTCTTCAAGTTGTAGCTATTGACTAATGGGGCTGCATGGGAAGAGCTAATCCCTGCACCAAACAATATGAGTATGTGCACTGGACTCTAAGCCTGCATTACTCAGGCAGAGAAGAAAGTGACATCCGCTGAGTACTTCCTGCATGCCAGGAGGGATGCTGTACTCACAACAGCCACATTTTCTTTATTTCATTATAGTAAGAAGAAGAATTCACTTAAATAAGTAACTGTCAGTCAGCCCTGACCTGAAGCTTTTCTTTTTCTTGTTCTTTTTTCTTCCTCAGGAGCTAGGCATCGATCCCAGGGCCTTGTGCACACTAGGCAAGGACTCCACCCAGGAGCAGGGTCCCGAGTGGTTTTCCTCTACGGCAAACTGTGGGGTTATCTGTAATCGAAACCCGCCACAGTCCAGGCTCCCTTCAAGTTACCATGAGCACAGCAATGGCATTACTAAAGCATTAGCTCCTAACTCAAAGAGGTCATGCTGTCTTTCATCCACCCCATCACACCACAACCAAAATGACAGAACATGGAACAGTGTACACAGTCAGACAAGCCTACTAGTTTTGTGAGTTGCAAAGTACAATCTAACTAAGAATGTCTGTGGTACTGAACTGTCAAGTTTTGCTAGGCCCTGTACCCCTGTGTCCCTGGATTAGTTTGCAAATGATGACATTGGACTTGACTGTCACAGTACTTCCTTTGCCTTTGATACCAGTTTTGTTTTGCTCATATAGTTTTAAGCTTTTAATTTCAAAATAAATAGTAACATATAAAAAGTGGATCCCAGAAAAAAAACTTGTAAGTTAGAAGCAGCAGTTGATAAGACTTGTTTTCTAAGCAATCTGTCCATATTTAGATTTGTTTTCTAGGCAATCTGTCTAATATTTACTATATTTGGGTTCCTCCAATGTCCATGTGGGAAAGGCTGGACCGAAGGACCTTTAGAAGGTGGAGCCTTCTGTGAGATGTTTAGGTGGTTGAGGTTAACTCAAAAGTTACTGTAGGATCTTGCTGCGTCTTCCTGGATTTGTGCTGCCACGGGCACAAAGCAACGAGGCCAGCGAATCATAGGTTCATGTCTAACAGGCCACCCGATCACATGGCTGAAGCCCAATGCAGCAGTTCGGCATTAGCTGTATCTCAGTATTCGTAAGACTCACAGGGAATTAACTGATTGGTGCTATTTTTTCTAGAGTTATCTTGAAGAGTTAAAATTACTACTTAGAACTAATGGTGATGTTAATATTTAACATCAAATAAGCAAATATTTAAGCTTGTATTAAAAGGAAACCACTTTAGACACATATATAACTTTCTGGGCTTTTTGTTGTTGTTTTGTTTTTTGAGACAAGGTCTCTCTATTATACCTGTGTGTGTGTGTGTGTGTGTGTGTGTGTGTATATATATATAAAATTTTTTATATATATATTTTTTATATATATATAAAATTTTCAATAGCTAAGTAGTTAGTAATGTGAGACATGAAACACTCCATTGTAGTATTGGAGTGACCTTCTCATAAATATAAGCTAATACAAAAACAGAAATAAAAATAAAAAACATATATTTTCTTTAGGATTAAAAGGTTCTTTAGAATCCTTTCTTCTTTCTTTCCTTCTTCCTTCCTTCCTTTTTTTCTTTCTTTTCTTCGTTTTAAAAGATTTATTGTTTTTGTTCTGCCTGAATGTACGCCTGCACACCAGAAGAGGGCACCAGATCTTACTATAGATGATTATGAGCCACCATGTGGTTGCTGGGATTTGAACTCAGGACCTTGGAAACAGCAGCCAGTGTTTCTAACCTCTGAGCCATCTCCCCAGTCCTTTCTAAAGGAGTCTTTCCCTACATGGAATCTGGGAGCTTTGTCATACTGATACTTTTTTAAAATAGGAAACAACTGATTTCACTTTCATTTTAAAATTGGTAAATCTACATAAAAAACCAATTAGCCACTGTACAGGATCATTTTTCTATACTATCTTTCTACAGTTAGCAAATTTGGGACTGTGGATGGTTAATAGTAAAAATATTTATACAGTGGAATGGCTAATATACCCTTATTTATTTAAAGCAGAATATAGAGGTGGAGAGATGGCTAAGTAGTTAAGAGCACTTGTTCCTATTTCAGAGGACCTGGGCTCAGTCCTAGCACCCATATTACAGCTCACAACCACCTCAAACTCCAGATTGGACAGATTGGACAGATCCAATGTCGTCTTCTGACTTCCTCCAGTACCAGGCACACATGTTATACACAAAACACTAATATACATAAAATAAATCTAAAAATATTCTGAATCAGAATACAATTTTTAAAGTTCAAGGTTTGTTAGTTAAAAATTCTTTCAAACACAGTAGTCTATGTGAGGATTCAAGATGCCCTCTTGGATCCACGCACAGTGGCCCACACCTCTAATTCTAGCACTTGGGATCAAAGGCAAAGGCAGGGAGATCTCTGAGTTAGAGGCCAGCCTGGTCTACAGAGTGAATTCTAGGATGGCCAGGGCTACACAGAGAAACCCTGTCTTGGAAAGGGAGTGTTGGGGGAAAGAAGTCTCCTTGGAATCTAAATATATTTCTATTATTTCAAAACAACCTAAAGGAGTAAAATATTTATATCTTTCAAGCTCTAGTGATCTCAAAGGGGCTAAAAAATTCATGTTTAGAGTACATGGATATTCACCCTAGTAGCATCATCTGCTTTTTCAAACAGCAGTCTACCGCCATGGCTCCCTTAGCACACACCAGCCAAGCTCACCTGGTGCATGATTTGCTTTTGCTTCCACTTGTTCTCTGTATTTTTCAATCAAAGGTTTCTGTTTAAGTCTGGACTTTATTTAAATGCAATGGACACAATTCATTTAGTTTTTGACTCCAGCTCTCAGTGAGACACGACAATCAAAGTCCCACACTGTTCTCAAGCTTAGCGCCACCTCCTGGTCTCTGCTGTTGTGCTGTTGGGTGTTGTGCAAAGGTGTTATGTTTGCAGGCATGGCTGGGGTGTTCGAGATCAGGGGCGGAGAGATGGCTCACAGTTAAGAGCACTGGCTGTTCTTGCAGAATACCTGGGTTTGGGTCCCAGCACCTACACGTGGCTCACAACCATTTATAACTACAGTTCTAGGGAATTAATGGCCTTAATTGACCTCCATGGGCACCAGGCATACATGTGACATACAGATATACACATGGGAAAACGGTCATACATGTGAAATAAAACTAAAAATTTTACTTCAAACGATCAAGAGAATGACAAAAGACAGGGTGCTGCTCTTCCTGTAGCTTCCAGAGTCACTGCTCTGTGCTCCTTGACACATTAGCACACAGCACGCAGGACCACAGCTCTCAGAACGTTAAGGCTGACTGGTGAAGTTTTGAGAGCAATGTGACTTAGATGGCCCCTTTGAGGGGTTCACATGTGCTCACACACTGCTTCAATAAGATTTACCACGTATTGCTTGGTGCCTTTAGAAGAAAGAATTGGAGAGTCGCCTTACTATTCCAAAATTCCTTAAGAGTATAAGACGAATGCATTTTTACATTTATTTATATAACTTTTTGTGTGTGTATGTGCATGCCATGAAGCATATGTAGAGGGTAGTGGAAAAATTGTGGGAGTAATGCTTGCCTTTTACAATCTCAGGATCAAACTGTCTGGTTTAGTGGCAAGTAATATTTTGCTGACCCCAGCAATGAAGCGCTTTAAATATGTATCCAGGACAGAGCAAGGACAAGTCTACAGGTCGATCTCAGAGGACTAGAGATAGCCATGTGCTATGTAAGAAAACTTCAAAGATTGAGCCATGCACGGAGATGGTTCCTCTCAATGATCCTGGATCTAGGAAATTTCTACTGCCTGTGACCCTACAGCCACCATAGAGCAGTCTCATGAATTTCCTATTTGCACTGACAGCCCTGTGAACAGACGGTGGACACTGCCAGACAGACAGCACATACCACGATGCAACCCAGACACAGAGCTGCTGGTTTATGTATTTGCTATCGATGCACTGCACTTATCAAACGTGTACTGTACACTAGCACGCCACGCGCTGTGGCAAGGGCCACACTCTGTTTATGTTCAGAAGCCACAGCACCCAGTCTATGTGGGTGCACTGCATAGTGTCTGTACAACTGCAGGTTTCTGAGAACGGATCCCGCTGTTGGTAAAGCAGGCGTGTAAGGGGTAAAGAGATGGCAGCAGATGCATCTTTGTGTGTTTGTATGGGAAATGCTAAAGACTGGTGCCTGGTGTCTCTGAACAACTAACCAAGAGAAAGGATAAACACACCTGAGTGAGGAAACGAATGGAAAGACTCTCCAGGGACCACAAAGAGACTTTCTTTCTTTTCCTTCTCAAAACACGTGGTCATTTCTTCCCGAGTAGTCTCTTCATCTTCCCTGTCTTCCTGAAGCCTTTTCATCCTTTCCATTAAGGCTTCTAGCTCACCTAGGGAATCCACAATCTGGAGGAACAGAAGACAGAGTTGGTGCTCTGATACTACAAATGCTCCAGGGAGCCCTTCCCTCTGCAACTCTACTGAGCATGCACAGAGGACAGTTGTTTAGGCTGCAGCAGAGACACTAGTCAAATGACATAACTGTAACTGGCATGCATATCTTAAATGTGGCTAGGGTGACAAGACAGTGATAGAAGGTAGGTGAGTGACTGAGGAGCTAGGCACAAGGAAAGAGGAACCAGGATGGGAAGCTATGGAGTTGCTTTTTACACTGTGTAACATCCTAAAAGTTATTGTTGCCAATATCATACTTAAAACTATTTGGTTATACCCATTTAATGGGTAAATTGGGTCATAGGTTATTTACATTTTATTAAAGCTATTTTTAAAATATCCTGAATTTTTATTAACTCCATAGCAATTAGATGACATACTCAAATATTTTTGGATATGTTAGACTGCTTCATTTATAAATATAATATAAAGTGTATGTATATACATATATGTATGTGTGTTAAAATATAGAATTCTAGTGTTTGGTACATAGCAAATTGTAATTTACTGAAAATTGAAGTGGTTTCAAACTTTCTTCTTTCTGCCTCCTTAGTTGCTTGGCAGCCCACAGATGGATGCACCACTTTGAGATCTGCTTCTCAAGGGACTGGCATTACAGTCTTGTTTTTATTATTTCTAACAATATTACTTTGCTTATGGTGCCAAGAAACGTGTAGGGAATCCAAAGAAATCCAGCCATACATATACTAAGAAATCAAGACCGCAAAGTTACCTGGGCAGTGAAGATATTTAAAAGGACATTTAGGAAGAGAAAAATAAAGTTACTTTACAGATAAATTTCACCATCGGTAGAAAAGTGAACTAAAAAAGAAAACTTAGAGTCTTCCTGGTTATAATGTCTTTAAAGTTCACATGGAGACCACAAGTGGGGGTGCCAGGAATCCCAGGATAATAACAACTTAAAAGTTTGGGGTGGATGGGAAAGGTATTATACAGTAACACCCTAGAATTAAAAAAAAAAAAAGTTGGAACTTTAGGTTGATGAAACTTTTACAGTGCTAAAGGAATCTTTCAAGTACATAATATCCTATCTGGTCACAGTGAACTCTCAATTACAAGAGAGACAGTTCAGAAAACGAACCCCAAAGTTGCTGCCTGCCAGGGAGGCATTTTCGATGCTGTTGTCATTGGCCAGGTCACACACACAGAAGCTGCTCACGGAGATTAGTCTGAAGCCATTGGCGATTCCTGGGTCTCTCTCTGGATTGATGCCACTACCAAAAACAAAGCTGGCCAAAGCGTGATAGTGAGTCAAGAGGACCACGGCGTGCACTAGCTCAGGCAGGGACCAGTTATTTTCTCCAGTTTTGACAAGTTTCTGAAATGAGAACACGAGCCAAGGTCAACACAGAAGCCACAGTCTCACATGCTCACTTGTAGGAAAGCAAACTAAAATTCTTTCAAAATGCTTCACCCATTAAAGATCGGCCTTTGATCACAATATGTAACGTGCAAGCTATCAAAGCCTCACAACAGAATGATGCTGCGGCATTGGCTATAACAAATGCTGTATTGTGCAATGATTCTTCTGCTTCTAGAGCACTTTTTAAACACTATTTTAATAAGATGGTAAGAGAATTAAGAAACAGAGCTGGAAGGGACTTAGACAATTTCTAGTGAAGCAATTCATCGTCAGGTATTTTGGACACTGTCCCACAGTCATGTTAAAATCCAGTTTAACAGGGTAGCTGTGGATTCCCTCTAGATAGCATCTGGTAGAGACTGCTGCCTCTCCATGCTACAGGTTCGAATATGACAGTACCCTGGAATAAGAACTTGGGACATGTCAGTATAAATTTCATATGTTATTTTATTTGTCCTATAGCTGAACAACAGAACCAGAATTAAGCCTGTTAAAAACAACAATGCTTTGTAATGCCCAATCTTGGCTGTCAACTTGACTGTATCTGAAGTCAACTATAAAGCAAGTCACTGTACCCCAATGAGAGACTTTCTTGATTGGACTACTTAAAGATGTGTCTTAAAATTGGGCAGGGTCCTAAATTATATGAATGCAGAAGAAAGCTAGCTGAGAAGTTCAAGTATATTCTCTCTGCTCTTGAAGTGTGGGTATGGCAGCCGTTCACGCTCCTGTCTTGACTTCCTAACAATCACTGATGGACTGCAACTTGGAATTGTAATTTACAATAAATCCTTTCTCCCATAAGTTGCTTTCTTTGCAGGGTCACTTCCAAGGGTAAATTCCACGAACATATCCCTCACAGACCTCTTCCCATCAGTTCAGTGTTCATTCACACAGGTAATGCTATTCTTTTCTCTATTTTAAAAAACAGTTCTCTTTATATAGTCACGGCTGTAGACATATACTTTTCTTCTGCTCAAATCTGTTACTTTGGGATTTCGTATTTTATGAGGCTATACTGTTACACTAACTGTAAAACACAGGTAAGAGTGGACAATGTGTCTAGCTGCTTCATTTCTGAACTGATGTTGAATTGTTCCTCCTAGCCCCCGGTATTTGTTACAAATAACTATATTATATGCTATAGCTTCTTTTAGACTCTAAAGTGGGTCTTCGTCATCACCACTCGCCTTTGACATGCAGGCTTATCCTATCCTGAGTACAGTCCTCTTTCTTCAGACAGCCTTAAGACCTGGGTAGATGATTTCTTCTTTCAACTTGACTTTTGCTAAGTTGTACTATCTGATTTCCTTCCTTTTGTCCTGTTCCCCCTCCACCTCTCATTAGGGTCTTATCATATAGCCCAGGTTGGCCTGGCTTATAATGTTGTCAAGGATGACGTTGAACTGCTAACCCTCTGGAGTTCATTTCCAGGTGCTGGAATTAAGAAAGAGTGCCACTGTGCCTGACTTCCCCATTTAATGTCGACTCTCCTCTTCATCCTGAGTGAGACACCTTACCCCTTGGTAACTGGCACCGCCACATGTAAGTCATAACCTTGTTTTCTGTGACACTCATGCCAGAAGAGCAAACCATTTGTCACCATCCTCACTCCCTTCTTAGTCTCACATGACCTCTGAGTACACTGTCCAATTGTGAACAGAGGTCAGCTTTCAGATACATGCTCTGACTGCCCTGCTGGTCTGCATCATTTGTAACCCACCCTGTGTGATAGAATATACTCATGAGACTTGGCACAAGCCACCCTATGCCATACGCACTTACAACAGTAACAGCTGGGCTCAAGTCTACAGCATGTGTTCATAAAGACACTTATAAAATAAAATGCAGATACAATATACAGATGCAGTATAATGCTAATAAAATATACAATACAGAAACTTAAAAAGACAAGAATACAAATGCTTTGAAGCTTATTTCATGTTTTCTGTGTGGCAGCATAACTTAGGAGATCATGGCTTTCTAAGGCTAAAATACAGATTCTGTAATGGAGCCTTTATGTCTCATACCAGATGATCTGACTCTTCTCAGACCCCACCAACCACCATCCAGAAATCCCTCCCTACACTTTGGTTTTCTGAAGTTAATAGTTACTCTTTCAACACATATGACTGCAGGCTCTTCCCTGTGAAACTGCTCTGTGACAGGAAATAGCTCATTTCATTTTGAAAAGTTCTCCTTATTTTTAGACCTAGCTCAAACATTAGCTCTTAAAAAAAACCTTCATATGCCCACTGTGCCTCCCTGCACTCTCTGAGGACCTACACTCACATGCAATATGGCCCCCTGGCCTCTGCAAACACTTGCAATCACATGCCCAGTACGCCAGGGCAGTGGTGGTGCACCTTTACTCTTAGCACTTGAGAGGCAGGTGGATCTCTAAGTTCGAGGCCAACCTGGTCTATAGAATGAGTTCCGGGCCAGCTAGGGCTACACAGAGAAACCCTGTATCGAAAAACAAATAAAAAAACCAAGCCAAAGAAACAAAAAGCCCTTCAAACTAACACTTATGATCCCAGCCTGTTTACCCACAACTCATATGTGACTTTATGATATCCTATCATGTCTCTGAAATCTGCCCCTGAAATCCAGGCATCTTTTTCAGCTCACCAAAGATTCCTGTATAAAGTAGTTATGATATGACATAAAATAATTATCAATTCTCTGATCTAACTAACACACCATGGAATCACAACACAGACCTAGAACAGTGCTGTGCTTCACAGAGTCTGAAGTCATCAAAACCTAATACTTAAAAAAAAAAAAGACACAGGCTGCTTGGTTAAAAACTGGATAAATCACAAACGTGGAATGATAAGGTAATTTTAAAGGGCATTTCCATGTATTAACACAGTACATGTGCATTTGTAAGTAACTATTGTCTGACATGGAGATGAAAGCTCCTACTGAGTAGTGGGGCTGTGCTGAACATTGCTGGACAGCACTGGCCTCTGACAGAAACACCAGCAATGGTTCAAAGGTTCACCCTCACAGCTCTATTGTTAATCTGGCCAGTAATTCCCACGCTGGCTAGAAAATATTTTTTTATTTGCAAAACCATTTCTTTATGAATCTTAAATTATGAAATGTTAAAACAAGCAAAGGATTTAGAACACTTTATGGAATTTACTAACTAAAGGGCACATATTGCTGACAATAGTGGCCAGAAGCCAGGCATCCATGATGCTAGTTGACTTTATCTATCAACTCCTTGATAACAGAAACCAATTTTTCTCATAGCACAAGTTCAGGCCAATGAGTGACTCCTTCAGAAGAGTCAGTTTTCATTTGCATTTATGTGAAACCCAACAAATTTCTAATTATCTTTTAAATAAATACAGCATCTCTGATTTCTCAAGTTTCTATATATAGGTATTTAAAATTGAGTACACACACGTGCTCGTGCACACGTAGAAACGATTAAAAAGAGAGGCTATGAATGCGAAAGAGAGAAAGGAGGTAAATGAGAGGGTTCAGATGGAAAGGGGGAAGGCAGAAAGGTTGAAATTATAATCTTAAAAATAAAAATTATTATACAAAACGAAACCCCACAAACTTTCAAGCTTCAAGCGCACCTCAGAACTTGTGTAGAAATCCCCAGTACCTGAATGTGCTCTTTTGTGATCAGCCAGGGCCGGTGTGCCAGCAGCTTGTTAATTTCATTAAGATTTCTCAGTCTTTGTGGCACATACTCCAAGCCATTGAGCCACTCGGCAATCCCTCCAGTCTTTAAGAATTCATCCACATGCATGTTTATCAGGTAGGAACACTGGTGTCTGGCTGCAGCCTGAAACACAGAAATAAGTTTTCTGAGAACAGTCACAAGCAGGTCTTTCCACAAGTAGGTAATTTAGATGGAGCTATTACTAGTGATCAGTAACTCCTCATAAGATTCTCCTTCTTCAAAAATGTTTACCATAGTGTTGTTACAGACTCTTCAATCAATATAGGAGGCTGATTTGCAGTTTTAAAAGCAAATGCTTATCATACAAAGCCAACAACTTCTCTTGAGTTTGTATAGATAGACCTGGATATAGCCTACCTGGCTATTTTTAGGAAACATCCAGGCACCGTAGAAGTCTGCTATGGGAAGATACAGTATGTTCTATTTAAAATACAGGAACGCCTTAGCAATGTGTATCCTAACAATTCAGAGCTCATGCTTATGGAGGAGCCATATCCGACCTCAGAGACCTGGTTGGACACTGACATCACAGATCTCTCCTTATGCAGTCAATGTCATCTGGGTGCTGTCAACGAAACTATCATGTTAAGCACTTTTGCCCTCTCTTCTGTGGCTATGTTTGTAAAATAATCCTGTTTTATTCTTTCAGATCTCTGTCTCACTGCTCTGTCTTAGTGAACAAGCATTCCCCATCTGCTTTCAGCCTGTCATTGAAAATGTCTGCTAAAAATCAGAGTATCCATCAAGTTCACATCAGAACTTGCCGGACCTAGAGCAGCTCCACTGGCTTGGGCAGCCAGGCTGCTGTCTTTGTCTCCAAACACACAGTCCCATGGGCTCACGCCCTCATCCTCTTCACCAGTAGTTGTCTAAGTAGAGCACAGCTCAGCTATAGTACCTCCGGCACAGCTCTTCCCTGGCATTCTACTTGCAGCAGCTCACTTCGACTAACGAGCCACCCTGTAACAAGAGCTACACTCAAGTGTTGTGATCCACTCACTAGTTCTTCTCTCATGAAGATCTGTCACTAATGACAACTGGCACTTTTCTCCTACCCCACACTGGGGATCACCTTCATAGATAAGATGACTAAGAAAATCTCACAAGCAACTTATGCAGAAGACTCCAAGAACAAAAGCAAAACTGGTAGGGGATTATTCTGGATGCAATAACCATCTTTAATTATAAAACTCTAATATGAAAAAATGATTCTATTGAAGGTTAAAGGAGAAACAGCATATTAAGTGGCTTAAAGCACTCTGAATGTATCCAAGGGATACTAGAGGCTTCTTCACTTATTCCTCCTGTAACTACACTCAGTTTTACACACATGCACACATGCATACATGCATATACACACTCACAAATATATATACACACACACATACCATCTCTCTATATACATATGCATATTCACACACATATGCACAAACATATATACATGCTCACATATATACCTCTCTACATATACATATACACAAACATATATGCATACTCACCCCACACATACCCACAAAAACACCCTATACACACTCTCACACACATACACTCCACAAAACACATACATCGCTCACATACATACTTACTCAGTCCCTCCCACAGAGACACAACTTAGAAGGGACACAGAATATGTGGAAGCTTGTTCATGACAGTAGGGAACAGTGGGAAGTAAGCACCTACCATGATGGCAATGTAGTGCCTGTCTGGGAGGGGAAGGGGGCCATCCATACGCAGCATGTAGAACTGGCTCCGCAAGAAAGATTCCAGGTACTGAGTGTGCAAGCTCATCACCTGTGTGATGTTGTCCAGGCGACCAGATGTAGAGTACTCTTCCACAAGAAAATTTGTTCGTTCATCCACTGTGTTTGCTTGGACAACCTTACAACCAAGAAGCATAGAATGCGGTGAACACTGTGATGTAAAGACAGCTTTGGTTTACATGGACTCTGTCTGTACTGAAGAAATACATATTCATTTGATGCTAACAGATACTGCAATTATGCAGTTGCTCATACTAGAAACAGACATTTAAAAAGAGAAAGTACCATTCAGTTTTGGCTTTGGTACCACAATTTATTAAACAACAAATGTTAAGTTATCAAACATTAAACATGCAGCTATGAAGCTGAGGAAAGAAGCCTCCATCTGTCTTTGCAGCGAGCATGTAGACTTCAGAGCTGGCTTGCCTGGCCATTGTCACATTGTGTAGTGAGGCAAATCCGACAGCACTGGGTGACATGCATTTGTAGCCTACTCTCATAAACTGACAAAGAACATTAATGGCATTATTTTGGACAAATATCTGATCCTTTGTTGCTTTTGCTAGTCAACATTTTAAAAAGTTTTATGAAGTCTTTTTAGAGATACAGGAACATATGATGACTTGTGATGAAAATTAATAAAGACATGAGATCCTGCTATTGCTAGTTTAAGCCTATTGTAGTAATTACTAAAAATAAGGCATGAAAATAGGACTTAGATCCTTTATCTAGGGGCCAAAGAGCTTTCCCTAAATAGATTAAATAGGATGTAGTCGTATACACTATGCCAGCTTGGCATCACATAAGTTGGCTGTGGTGGTGGGAGGACATTGTTAACTCCTGTGGAAAGAGCCAGCTCTGCAGGAATGGATGGACACGAAGCTCGACTCCGGCGCTGGCTTACGTCTCACTTACATTTTAGAATTAGACTTCTGGGTAAAGATGAACCTGCTCCTCAGTTTAGAGATAAGGAAGCAGATTCTGGACTTGACTTTATGCATCTAGTTAATAGCAAACTGGTTTTGAGGAGATCTCATGAAGTCCAAAGGTTTGGTCCTTTAAAGACTGACACTGTAGTTAAGAAACCTCAGAGCTGGCATCTCAGTTCTTGTTACCCCCAGGGAAGTATAAATTATACAAAGGAACTGTTTATGGAGAAAGACTTAATCTTAAATGGAGTATGTCTAAAAGTGGGAAATGCTAGTTATCCTGGCATAAACACAAAAGGAAACTTCACCTCAGTTTACTATGGGACCCTGGGGACTTTCATTTGTCCATCTCGCTGGTCTGTCAACCAGAGGGACTGAGCTGATAGTTAAAAAAACAAGGATCCAAACTGAAATACAATTAGGGCTAGAATTCTTTCCTATGTTTGATTTGCTTTCTCCAGATGCTTCTTAGTTCTCACGAGGCATTCACAATATGTTATAGATTCATATGCTGCATCAGATCCTAAAAAATAGATTATCTTCAAATACATGCTACAAAAATGCCTCAGGAGTCCATTCATATGAGTTAGGCCATCACCCTGCAAGTGCAGCCCTGGGCCATGAGGCAAAGAGGTGCACGCAATGCAGTGCCTCTTGTACACTGCACTGCCACCTCTGAGCTTTAGAGACACACCACTTTCACTTAAGTTCTGGTTCAATGGGAAAGCCACTAAATCAGGGACAGGAAAGTGACGTCGGGGCTCCTACTTTCTTAAGATAAAGATGTCTGTGTACACGCAGAGAACACACTTGTGAGACAACTGCAGCCATGGGCACTGGTCACTCCTTAAGCAGACAAGTATGTCCTTAACTGGCTCTCAGCCTGGTGACAGCTAAGAGGCATCCAGGAATGCACATAGATCCCACATCTCAAGATGTACACCAACAAAACAGGCAAAAACCTTACTGTGCCACTGATAACCTCCATGTCTGGCAGTTACCATCTTGTTACCACACCCTTACCAAAGATGCACAATGGTTAGAGCGTTTGTGGGATCCTGTCAATCAAATGTGTAAATGAGAAGAGTGACTGCCAGTAATGAAGGCATTGTCTGCCTACTGTCCTTTAAAGGTGTAGTTGGAAACTCATGTTTTATTTCAAAATACTGCTTATTCCAATTATGTGATATAGTACATCCTGTGAAATGCTAGTCTCTTTAAACCTTAAAAGCCTTCAGACTTTCTCAATGGATCTGAAAAAACAACTCTACATTTTCTAACATGAATAACAACACACTAATGAGCAAAACACATCTACTTTTACATGGAAAAATGAACAGTGTTCGAGTTAGTTTTTGACGAGACAATATGTTGAAAACAAATGAACTTACTTCCTTCTCTGGAATAAAGGCACTTGGTCCTCTTGTCAGGGGTTGAGACACTCTGATTCTTTTGTCCTGCTTGTAAAAGAAAAGTTCAATGTGGTAAGATGACTGACCAAGACAATTTAAATTGGTAGATATTTTCAGTCAACATACTAAAATAAATAAGTCAATAAAATTATGTAAAACCAAAAGAAGTCTGGGGTCCAGGTCAAAGAAAACCCAGAGCAGCACTGGTTGTATTTATGTGAGCTAAAGGGACAGGTTTCTACCACAGTGCTGGGGGAAACTCAGTTATCATATATCACAGGGCCTTAGCTCAACACTTTACATGAGGGAAAGCTGTTAACCTCCACAATAAATTCAGACCTGTTGGTATACCATTACAATAGAATATTGTTGAGGAATGTTGATAATTTTTGTTCATACTTAAGTCTTTCTATATAAATTATGAAAATTTTAATGAGATTGCTTCCTTCTCCATGGGTGAGGTTAGGTCAGAGACAGACCAAAGAGGCCTCTTGAACTCCTTAGCCAGGAGAGAGATATGGGAAAATGGCCACTTGATTTTCTCAGATAAAATTAACACTCTAAGTTAAGAATCAGCCCTCTGATGCCACAAGATTACACTATGGACGGCAGCATGGTTACAAAGACTCAACAGGAATATTAAGGAGATTATATAGTAATATAATAAGAAAAATATTAAAGACCTTGTAGCTATTAGAAAAGCTCACTTTAAAAGCTTTTAGATGCCTCAAAATCTCCTGAGGAAACTTCTAAGAAGGTGGTTCCTTATCTGAAAGTGACAAAATCTTCTCTATATGATCCAGTCTCTTGGCTACAGCCTATGCTAAGACCCCAACAATGAAACAGAAGCCAATTGGTAGCCCATGGAAGGGATGGGCTACCCATTGGTATACCCATGGATTCCTGGGTATATAAGTTCTGTCCAAACCAAGTTAAGGCTAATTAGCGCACACTAATAATTTCTCAGGACTATTCAGTAATTATGTGAACACGATGCAGTCAGAGAGCCAGGAGAAACAAAATGCTGCTCAAATGCAGAGGCAAGGATACAAAAGGAAAGCCCAGGGAGGGTGTCAACAGAGAAACCAGTGGCGTTGCTATGGATTCCTGGAAAAGTAAAGCTTAAGCATGGTCATTTATATTCACTCTTTTCCTTCCCTTCTCCCTTATTAGTGGGTAACTTTAGTCTTTTTTGTTCCTTACAAATCAAAGAGCCTACCAAACACAAAATAGTTATTTAAATCCTTTAAGTCCCATACTTCATTAGGAAGCAGTTTTACAACAAATTGGCAGAAGTAGGCAGTTGGGTATTCAACAATGATTTGTTTGAGAGCCTAATTGAATATTGTGATAGACCGAGGAGAGGGAGTAAGAAAACAGACATAGCCGCAACCCTTCTGAGCCTGGCACACACTCTCCATCAACTGTCAGCGTTCTAGCGATATGTATGCATCACATGACATATTAAACTGTTTAAGTTTCCAAACAAGTAACACATCTAGATTACAAAATGATGACAAATCACCCTCGAATGACTGCTCGAGTACACTGGAGGGTGGCATGTGAACTGGAGTCATTCAGGATTTCTCATACTGGTATTTCTTGTCAACATTGACTGTAATCTGTCTAGAAAATGAATTCAAAATAGAAGATCTATATTCCCTTAGTTCCACCTGCCAATGACAACAAATGAAATGTTAAGACAGTTGTGGTAGTGCTGTAATCCCAGCACTTAGCAGGATCAGGCAGGGGGATCATGAGGTTGAGACTAGACTGGGATACATGGCCATCTTGTCTCTAAATACACAAAACTAAGAATAAAACCCCAAATACACCCTACTGTCTGTAGAACCTCATCAACTAGTTATCCAGGAACACCAATGTTCTGGAAAACTAATCATTTCAAACAAACAAAGCATCTAAGAAGCTGATTACAAAGGGGAAAATCAAGTTTGAAGAAAAACAAATGGAAGTTGGGAGACAAGTGAATACCGTAAAGTAAAAAAATACCCAAAATACAGAGAAAATGTAGGAAAATAAAATACACATTCTCTTAGGTGGAAGTATACAAGGGGTTTATGGAGACAGATTGAGGTACTACTGTTACACTTTATTTATAAAAATCCTGAGTTAATACATTAGTCAACTTAGTTCACCTTTATATTTTTGAAACTGTTACTTTCCTCACAAAATGACGTTCTGGGACAGACAACATTTCAATAAGAGATGCATTTTCATTGTCACATACCTGCAGGTTCCTGCATACAGATAAATATAGCATTGATCCTTTAGTTTTTAAGCAGCTACTAAGAAGGCAGACATGCACCCAGCTAAGTATGTCATTTGCTCCACACTGGTGGGCACACACACTGTGGCCAGGACAAGAGTGTTCGCAGCCATCATCTACCTAGCTAGCTGTTCCAACTGCAGGGAATGTGCACTTTGGTCATGAGTGATGCTGGTAGGAACATATGTATGACAAGAGGCCTGTGCCAGAGCTCATGAGATATAGCACAGCTTCTGCAGCAAGGTGAGTTCCTGGGGTTTAAATTATAGTTAGCCTTTAAAGGCTTGAATACTGCTACAGAAAAGCAAAAATGCTCATTTTCATCACACTAATTTCAAAAGTATAATGTGCTTGGGTCCTTTTACTTTATGTTTATTTAAGTAAAGAGATGAGCACCAGATCTGTGTTTGCCACATTATTCTAGGGGTGACACTGCTTCTGAGCCACAGAGAGGAAAGTGGCAGAACTCTGGTGAGAGCCCAGGAGAAAGATAGAACAGCCTGACCTAAGAGCACTGTTTTTTTCAATAAACTGAATCAAAAGTTAACATCATTTTCTTTTGTCTTTTCTCAGACACACACACACACACACACACACACACACACACACACAAATTTACAAATACACTATATTGCTATATTTTAGCATATATATTACATAGAGTATATGTGGCCAGGGAGTGGCACTATTTGAGGTGTGGCCTTGTTGGAGTAAGTGTGGTCTTGTGGGAGGAAGTGTGTCACTCTGGGGGTGGGCTTTAAGACCCTTATCCTAGCTGCCTGGAAGCCAGTTTCCTCCTGTTTGCCTTCAGAACAAGAGGTGGAACTCT